TGCTGAAGGTAGGTATACGTCGCTATCTGACATTATTTCAGAAGTATTTCGACGCCGATTGATACAAAATTACAAGAGATGTGAGAGATTTGTGATTGTCAACGGAGAATTTTCACAGTTTTCTACGTCATCACCCGCTAGCTCGTTACCAGTTCACGGGACACTTTCACGACAAAATAAAAGCACTTCAGGGCCTGAAAAAACCGAGTTTTGAAGTTTGAAATTTTTTAAATTTTTTTCTTCCATCGGAATTGATTTGTACATACGATAAGCTATATGGTGTAGGGGTTGGGACTACCGTCAAACCTAAGTTTTGCGCACAGCTTATGCATGAAATCTACAGATTTCATGAAGTATCCTATTCTTCCTGAAACTATATTATAAGAATGAGTATATAACAGCAGTCTAGCAGGGCTTTTCACAGTGATAGTTTCCAGGCTTAAATAGTAATTTTCTTCATTGAAATTTTCTCTAAATCTACTGGCTGGGAAGACAAAATGGACAGTGCATTCAATGTATAAACTGATTTATTGCATTGAGTTGACCAGTACCCAAGTATTTTCAAACCTTTTATGTTATTTGTTTTTATCGTGAACCAAAGAAAGTCATAATGGATGGTCAAATGAATAATTTTTCAGATCAATCAATAAAATCTATTATCGTATTTCATGTTAACATGTTCCCACAACTCCTTCCGAGAGGCTTCCATCAAAAACTTTTCAACCTCTTTAACAATAACCCATACATGACCAATACACCCAATCTTAATCGACACGTCTACGGTAGTTTGCGAATCGACTCACTTGAAGTCGAATCGTGGGTTTACATACCGGAAGTAATTGTCGAGCTTTACGATAATGAAACAGCTCTAAATGGCTCCTAAAGCGTACATCTTTTATGTATTGAGGGTTTGATGAAAAGCATCGGTCAAAAGTTCTTCCATGTCAACGATGTACCAAAAAAAACCGTAAATAAGGGTTAAACTGATAAGAACAGAGAAAGTCGCCTTTTCGTAACTATGCTAAGTTTGTTTGTTTGATTTATTGATTTATTTTAACAACGTTATTTTAGATGCGAAGTTAGGCAAAAGAAAACCTGACCTTGTGGCGGTCATTTCCGGGGGCGCAGAAGTAACAAGAGGACTCCAGACTAACATCACACTGAATGCCTTACTATCGTATGACCCAGAAGTTGCACATGGCAACCAATCAGGAATGAAATTCACCTGGCATTATGGCATAATCATAGCTAATCACTCCAGCAAACAAGCGGACGCGAAAGGGGAGAAAGATTTCTTTACGGCCGTGAATGAGTCAGCCATCCATTATTTTGGAAAAGCATCTGGCGAACAAATTTCCTTAAACACCGAAGCTTTGTCTCTTAATCAGACCTACATAATTAAATTGGTAGTGACCAAGGACAGTCGTATTTCCACCGTTTATCAAGTTGTCCATTTGATAAAAGGAGATCCCCCAGAAATATATATAAGGTAAGGGATCTACTTTGTTTTTTTCTGTTATTTAGTTTGTTTGGTTTGTTTTTAATGTTGCTTTTGTTGCCATCTTTAATACCTATATTTGTTCTTTACCTTGCTATTGCTCATTATTTTCACTACTGATGCTTCTGTCGCCCAGTTCTACCTGTTTTGTTTCTGGTTTCGTTATTTTTCGTTGTTTCTGCCGCCTTCGTTTTTTTTAAATTTGTGGTTGCTACTAATGATATATTTACGGTTAACATTGTCGTTCTGGTTGTTACTGTTGTTGTAGCTTCATTAACAGTCATTCATATCAATGTTAAATTGCAGCCACTGCTGCAGCTGTTCTTTTTAGATACATGCTCACACCAAATAACGGAAGTTCAAAACCCTTTCTTCACTGAGTGTTCGCCCAATCTTTTTTGCTTCTTTTTAGATGTTTCTTTAACTGCCACACTAAAGTGAGTCCCTCGGTCAAACTTAGCATCGAATCACAATGCCGCGGATTACAGTGCTCTAAAATATCTTCCTATGAGTGGATGCTCTACCAGCAATTTAAGCAAAACATGTCCTTTACCTGGCAAAGGAAACATAATCTACGACTCATCACAAGTACACCGCTGAATTCAAGTGACATTGTTATCAAAGAAGGTTCCCTTACTAGTGGAAATAAGTACCGCTTGGCACTAATAATTACAACTACGGACGGTTTAAAGGGAATGAATGCTTACGATTTCGTCATAGCGATACCTCCTACAGGGGGGAACTGTTCGATCACTCCGCCAAGCGGCATCTCACTGAAGACTGATTTCAATCTGAGCTGTAGCAACTGGGAAAGTGACAACACCCCTCTGACCTACCAGTTTCAATACAGGCTAGAGAACGGTCTGTACAATGTGTTGTATCGTGGCGTTAACAACACCATAAGAACCTCTTGGATACCGCCTGGGAACAATGCAGATAACTTTACTGTCAAGTTTAACGCTACAGTGACTGACAATTTTGGAATTTCTGCTTTCCCAATCCCTTTGACAGTTCATGTAGGTCGCTAACCATTAATTTAATGTCTAGCATGAAAGGATGTGAGAATATTTCAATTTCTTTTGGTCCCTATTAGATATAGATTAGTTATAGTCATAGATACTCGCTTTTGACTGTTGCAGATCAAGCCATCTCAGAAAGAAAGACCCGATGCTATCACAAACTTTCTAATGGCAAATGACAGTTTATTCGATGAATTCATCAGGAGCGGAAACCTGAGGAAAGCGGCACTAATAGCAAACTCTGTCCTGCTATCCGTTTCACAAGAAACCTCAATTGAATTGCAGGAGAGATACAAGGTACTTTTAAAACCCAACTTGTTACTTAAAAAGTGAAATAAAACTAGTTCGTTATGATCATATCCAAAAAGCAAAGAGCGTACTAAGAGCCAAACATACAAAAAAAGGAATAGATAATTTGTAATTAAAAAAGAAGATAACAAAAGAAATCAAATTCCGAAGAACAGAAAAATTTAATACACTAAATACAGGAACATATTTTTGAGAAAAATGGAGGCTTACGTGTTTAATATCTGATATTTTTGCAGCGCGAGAGTCTTGGCTTCAATGTCACTCAGATGTTCATTTTCCATTGTTAATTCTCGCGGGTTGAGAGTGTGAGCAAACAATTTTCTTTCGTTGTAACGAGTGAAGAACGAATTAAATTTTAAACGAATACTTACAACGTTTTGAAAGTGAGGTTTGAAATCACTAGGCATTCCTTCGTTTCAGCTTGGTGTTTTGATGCATTTAGACCAATCATGCGCTTGCAAACATCATTTTGATGGGTTTTAATTAGCAATTTTTAGTGGGAAACCTGATACGTTGCGTCTAAATATGCCTTTAGATGTGTTATCTTTGGAACGATCCTCCTTATGCGGGATACGGTCTGTTTGCTTAATTCTTTACTGGCTAAAATAACATTAAGCTGATATGTTTATCATTGTTCAAGGTTATGAACTACATCCTTGAAAGCTTTTCCTCCTTGGAAGCGAGAACTTTCTCCGAACTGCTTCAAAGTTCATCAGTTATCGGTTCTGCCCTTCAGGTTTTGGAGAAAGTGCCCCACCAGTCTCTGGTAGGTTAATCCCGTCATGTTGATTGGGGCTTGAAAAGCTATGGTTGTTACGTCAAGTTTTCATACCATGACATTATTTAACCAGAAAGGCTCAAGAAACAATAGCAATGACAACAACTGCAAAGTACTCACTTTAACTACTTAACCACAAATTATTCCTACAAAGGTAAAAGGAAATAAATCTGAAAGTAAGCATCTCCATTTATATTCATTTGCACTCCACAGAATATCTCCTTATCTGCTATCAGTTCAATGACGTCACTCCTGTGGTCTCTCGCCCAGGAAAAAGACGTAGCAGACATACAGCTGACAACCCAATCAGCAGAAAACTTGGCTTTGTGTCTAAATTACGCTCTGAAGGCGGCAGCAGTGATTGCATCAGAGGACTTCAAGTCAAGTTTTCAACAACAGGTGCTGTAATGAAAATTTAGGTGGTGTCGTAAAGTCTAAATTAAATAGACTTTTAAAACTTATTTATGCATGCAAGCATAATTGTTAGAATTTCTTCATTGGCGAATGGTCCATTGCAGATTGCTATTAACTTCACCGTTATTCTCTTCGTCATTCAGATTTTGGAACTTTGTTTGTTTGTTTGTTTCAAGCTTGCGAAAATCCATAACTTGCTTATATTCTCTGTTTATTTTATGCAATTTCTACAGGGTAAGATATTGGTGAAGATTTCAATGAAGGCCCTCGAGAAAGTTGCAGACTCAGTGTTGGCCCTGACAGTGCCTGATGAAAGAACAATACCAATCACAGTAGAACAACTATCCATGACACTCGGAAGATATAGCATCCAGAGACTCTCAGGACTGGAAATAAAAGCAGGAAAAGGCCAGTTTATCTTACCGTCTAATGGCCAATTGTTACTCTCTGGAGTAAACATAACAAGTTTCGTAGATGTTCAGGTAGGTATTCACGCCCTACAGGAAAATTTCAATCCAAGTTTTATTTCAGCAGATACCGACCCCAGTCAAGTTAAAGTAACACATTGGGTACCTTAAAAGTTTCCTATTACCTTCAGCAATCATATTTCTTGTCTTGCTTTTGGCATGTTCGACTCTGGCACTTGGAACGGCAAAAAGAGTCGAATAAAGCTTGATTTTCTTAACATCTCCTTAAATAAACCTTACAACTGAGTTGATAACAGGATCAGATCTCCTACTAGCCATTTTCGTCGTTTTACATTCTGGTTTCAAAAAATTGGCAATGAAAATATTTCATATTAAGAGACCACGTAAATATTATTTTATTTTTTTTTGTTTTAAAAATATATTTTCAGTTTTATTTTGCCCTTGACTTATGATAACTTATGATTAGTAGTGACACCGAATACTTTGTTTGTGTTCAGTTTGGAAGTCCACCAATAAAATCAAACAAGTAAAATTTTCAATCGTTCTTCTTTTAGATGCTGTCATTTTCTTTTAACCCTTACACTTGGGATAGTTCAAAGGAGCGAGTTGACTCTGATGTTGTAACCCTGCAGCTGAAAAACAACAAAGGAGAGCTAATTAAAGTATCAAATCTCTCGGAAGACATCGTCATCATTACACCTTTGAAACCTGGGAAAAACTTTACGGAAAAGGCAAAGTATTTCACAAGGAATGACAATTTACTTTTTCATGAGATAGAGGTTAGATTTGGAAACACCTTGCTGATGATGGAAATCAACCCTCAAGCGCCAAACGTATATCTGTTTGCATATATGCGTTTTGGTCAGCGGCCAACATCTCAAGACTACGACCTCAATGCCACTATCTCTCATGACGAAAAGTGTGTTTGGATGCTAAGTGCACATGACAAAAGTGAAGGACAAACGGTCTGCTCCTTGAATCCTCATGCACCGATACAAGTACTTGCTGAGCGTCCCGGGAAATACTTTCTTGGCTTAAAAAATTACAACGCCACAGTGAATTTATCTCACAAAAGAGATAAAAGGTCTTGTCTTGGAGGAAGGCGAAGAAAGCGTTCCTGCGTCGAAGTCAAAGATCCACCACCCACCCCACTCCAGGGTGAAAATGTCTCTGTGATGCCAGTTTATGATTCCACAACAGACCAGAAGTACACTCTGAAGGTGGTCTTAGGTAGTTGTGTTTACTGGTCAGAAAAGTTTGACAAGTGGAAATCATCTGGCTGTCGGGTAAGTGAAAAATTATATAACGATCTTCGGGACAATCTGTTTTCTAAATTTAACATTGTATTTGACACAGTTCAGATACTTGGAGCTTTCCTGAGTAATATTTGCAAAATTACTGTGCGATTGTAATAATCTTTACTCATTAGGTTCGTTATTGCATTCAGGCTAATCTTTGATAAGAGAACATTTTCAGACAAAAGTCGAATCGATTTGATAACCAGCCGGGGCTAATCAGCGCCTTAAAACAGAAAACATACAATGTGATTAATGGTGACAGCCAAAATGATTATTTTTCTTAATAATATCTTCCTTGCGTTTTATAATGCCAGGTTTTAGCAGAATTAGATGGATTCTTAAATTGTAGCTGTAGCCACCTGACATCATTTGGGGGAAGTCTTTCAGTTGAACCGAATCCTATTGACTTCGACAAGGTTCTAGTCGAGTTCCAGCAGTTACCAGAAACTGGAAATGTCGCTGTAATTGTGGCTATTGCGGTGGTTTTATTGTGTTATACAACTACGTTTGTTATCGTAAGGAAATTCGACAAAGAAGACGCGAAAAATGTAAGTGTCGACCCGGATTTTGCTTAGGACCATTGTTTTCACGGGACATGCCCTTTCACTCTCAAACTCCGATTGTCAATTCTCCCCTCCAGCTGTTATAAATTTTCTTGTAAAATAAGTAATGACCATTTGCTAATAGTGGAGCTCGCAGTGCGTAGCCCGATAATTATACAAAATAGCAGTAACCCATCAAGCCGAAAAAATTTGGATGTAAACCGTACGACCGTACAAGGTGCTTCTTTTAACATGCGTCAAATGAACCGCGGGCAACACCACGGCTTTGTTCAGTAGTCCAGTGGTCAGTGCACTGGGCTCAGAGTCGGACGACCCGGGTTCTAGTCCTGGCCGGGGCAAGACGTTGAGACGTGCGGGAGAAAAAGATGCGAGCTCCGCTTTTAGGCTTGGCTAAATCTATATATTATATCAAGATACCAACTTCTACTTGATAAGTCTGAATATCCTCATGACCTGTTTCCTGAATAATAGGCAGATGTTTGTTGGAGAAATTACATGTTGATCACTTCTAGGGGTTAAAGGGCTAGGAGGAAAAGGCTTTAATGTTGACGACATTATTCGCTTTTAAGGTTTGTTGAGATCGAGATTTTAACTTTTAAACGCGTTTAACATATCCTAAAAAAAAATTAAAATTTAAAAGTGAAGTGACAGTCAATTAAATTAAACCGTTTTCAGGGTTTACCATGATTTTTTTTTTCGGAAAGGGACAAGAAAGCGAATTAAGAATATACATTAGCTAGCCGTGTGAATAGTTCATGCTTTTTTACGTTTTTCTAGAGGAAATTACCAATCCAACTTCCATCATCATCTTCAAGTAGCACATATGAGTATATTATAGTGATTACTACTGGGGCTTGGAAAAACTCAGGCACGACTGCTCATGTAGCTTTGGAGATATACGGTTCTGAAGGAAAGAGTGGCATTCTTCAGCTTAGCCAAGAAGAGCCTGCTGCAGTTGATGTGTTATTCTCTCGAGGTAATTCAGATGTTTTTGTACTTTATGTTACCAAATCACTTGGTTCGATTCAAAGAGTGCAGATTGGGCATGATAATTTTGGAGATAATCCCTCGTGGTACCTAGAGGAAATTCTGATTCGGGATGTACAATCCAGGCAGTGTTGGAAATTCTTGGCCAGTCAGTGGTTTGCTCTTGAGCGCGGTGACGGGCGCATCGAGCGAATAATCGACAAGACCTCGAATCATCTGGATTTTAGCGATGAAGTTGCAAGACGTTGGCGAAGAGGCCTCGCGGAAGGGCATATTTGGATTTCAGTAGCAGCCAAGCTAAGAAGAAGCCGCTTTACAAGAGCACAGCGGCTTTCTTGCTGCCTCTCAGTGCTTTTGACATCCATGTTTGCTAACGCGATGTTCTATAAGTTAGAAGGCAAATATGAACAGCCTATCCAAGTCGGACCGCTGAAAATGTCGTGGAGACAAGTGGTGACTGGAATTGAAAGCGCGCTTGTTGTGACGCCCATAAACATTGTCATAGTGTTACTGTTTCAGAAAGGGGCTGAAAAGTCTGTGACGAACAATGGCTATTGTCATAAAGGTACCCTGATCAGTGGTATCTCTTGGTGTTTGTTGCTTTTTTCTTGTTTTGTTTCGGCTGCGTTTACAATTTTTTACAGCCTTATTTGGGAAAAGATTGTCAGCGAGCAATGGCTGTCTTCGATGCTTATCTCATTCGCGCAGGACGTAACGATCAAGGAACCAGTAAAGGTGTTCTTCACAGCTTTAACTGTCGCGGCCATTTTAAGGATAAAGGCGAAGAGATCAAAAGTACACGCCTGCGAAAGCCCTCAGCAAGTTAAAGCTGGGTACAATAAGAAAAATATTTGGGCACTGGAATTTTCAGAAGTGGAAAAGATGAGGAGACGACAAGCTAAGAAACAGAACCTGTCACGTTATTTCACAGAATTGGGTTTATACTTGGTCTTCGTTTTCTTACTTCTGGCAGTGTGCTATGGAAACAGAAGTGACCATCGGTACTTGATGACAAAATCAATCCGAGATGGACTACAAAACTTCGGCAAGGTGAGTAAACATTATTTTGTTATGATAAATCCTTTGCTGAAATTCCCGAGTTTGATTCATCTTACGGTGTTTCATTCCTATGGGGGTTCAAAATCGAGTATATGAGGGGAAATTTTACTTTGCCGGCCTCCTCAAGGACTGGTGATTGACTGAGGCATTTTCTGCTCTTGTAATCGACATTTTGAGTAGGAATATCTCTTTATAAACAGAGCAACAGAGATATGTTAGGGTGTAAGACCCGAACTCAGGACTGGAGAGAAATTCCAAGCGATAGTAGTATAATTCCATGAAGAGATTGGATTGGCATTCAATTCTACCATAGCAACTCACACAAACCTTATATTTGAGGGGATGGGTGCAATGGGAATGAGCACTTGGGAATAATAGTCTACAACAGTGTCTACGATAGGCCCATATATACTAACTTGTTTATGTGACTATATATATAGTGTATAATGTCTATTATATATATATATATATATATGTATATATAATCAAAAATTAAAACACAGACTTCTTATATAAATATATATATATATATATATATAAATTTATAGGGGAAGTCTGTGTTTTGATTTTTCCGTTTTACAGTGCTCGATACGTAGAAGTAGAGCGCAATATATATTGAGATACGGAAAAAAAGAGACTATACTTTCATCCCTGCAAGCCTGTTTCGAGATTACTCTCTCATCAGGGGATTGTATTGCTAAGAATATTCGTACCATCGTTTATATACTTTACAAATTTGCATAATAGGCGTGGCGGTAACTTTCAATGCTTTGTTCAATTGTTACGCAGTAACGCTTCGTTTCTGTGGCGGCATGCGGACACGAGTTCATTACCTTTATTGAGTGATGATAATTCAAGTGGGCAGATAATGGGTAATTTTTCTTTGAGGCAGAGGTTGCATCTTTTGCTTGCGCTGTTGAAGGGTGATCTAGATGAAAGGATGCGCCATGAAATAAAATGGTCCATGTTATTTTCCTTAAGGATTCAGATATGTTTGCTGAGTTCGATAGAGTTTCTGTGTTTTGTGTGTCGGAATGATGCGGTACAGTTTTTATATCTAGTCTTGCAGTCGATTTTCTGTAAGTCCGATATATGTTTCAATGGTGCTGTTGTCCTTACGTGTGACGGTTGCTTAGTAGATTTGTGGTGACTGAAGGCAGTTTCCGTTAAGTGGGCATGTTTTCTTCTTTGGGCAGTTGCAAGTTTTGGTCTCTTTTGTGTTGGTGTACCGGTATCCGCATTCGTCGAGTGCTTTTTTTTTGGTGGAGCGGCTTCGCCGAAAGATGCTTTGTCGGATGAAAGGGATGACAGTCTTGTTGATGCCGGCGGGTATGTCCTTTGTGGTGGTTGGTGCGTGGATGCCGCGGTGGACGTATCGTAGTGTGGTGTAAGGCTTTGTGAAGGGTTGGTGGGTGTTTTTGTTCAGGTTGAAAGTGACGTCTAAGAAATTGATGGTCTGTTTGTTGGCTTCGATGGTGATCCGTAGTTCATTGTGATTAAAGATGTGGCATATTTCTTTTTTGACGTTTTCTGTATCTCTCGGTGTGGCGTTTGAAAAGCCACACCGAGAGACACTACGATACGTCCACCGCGAGAGCAACCACCCGCAATTTGTAAACCGTTTGTAAGAGATTTATCGAAAGAACCATTGATTATTACCCCGATGCGAAATATTTTATGATGGAAAACACTGAGGATTTCTTAAACAAACTAGTGTTTCAAAATAATAATAAAAAAAAAAATCCCACGCGTGAGACAAAGAAAGCAAGTGAATCAATTTACACGCTAAACCGCAGAGTTATATTTTTAATTTATAAAAATGATCTTGTTGTGTCACACTGTCGTCTATATGCTTTCTATGCCAAAATGTATAAGTCCAATGTTTGATCGAAAAATTAAAATTCTTATAACCGAGAGAGTGAATTTGAAATAACCTAAGTTTACTTCCCGGCCATCGTCAGAGGCCGATAAAAATCGATTTTACTTCTATTTAACGAAACTGAATTCAAACATTCAGCTTAGCGTTTTTGTAAAAAAAATTCTGAAATCTTGAAAAGCAACCGATTTACTTAGAAAAAACGTATTTCAAACATAAGTGAATAAATCTGGAAGGAGTCATAATCTCGGACTTGGGCGAATCCCCTGAGGGAATTTTTGCGGCAACTGCTCATGATGTAACACCTCGGTGGCGCGACAAGAGAATCGTTTAAGAGAATCGTTCGAGAGAATAATATTCACATCCTCTTCAGAACTCGTTGGTGAGACATTGTGAATATTATTCACCTGTGAAAAATTCAAGTTGCCTTGAAATCGGGGTTGTTTAAAATGCGTCAGAAGTGTTTTTTTTTTTAAATCAAGGTTGAAATCAACCTTGGTTTTAAGGCTAAAAAATTCATGAATTGACTTGAAATCAAGATGTTTTTAAAAATGCACCAGAACCCGCTTTTTCTAACTACTTAAATACGTGTATATCTATCTATCTATCTATCTATCTATCTATCTATCTATCTATATATATATATCTATATATATATATATATATATATGTATATATATATATATATATATATATATATATACACAACCCAATAATCTTGTATTAATTCAGGTGAAAAACAACACAATGTACTGGTGGTGGTTACAGCGTGTTTTCATTCCGGGAGTGTTTTCCGGCAGATGGTACAACGGCCAAAAGGAAAACCAAACAATTTACATTGGTAATAAACGCTCTCTTCTCATTGGAATGGCACGAATAAGGCAACTCAGAGTGAGATCGAGTAAGTTTTTTCTACTTTTATTGCTTTTTGCATTCCAGTGAGAAGGCTATTTACCCGCTCAAATTATTGTACCTTTTATAGTTGAGTCTGATAGAGAAGCGATCACTGTCCAACCTTAAGTGTAGAGTTAAACAATAAGTTCACTGAAATTCCTAAAGAACAATATAGAAAATGCACCGGAGACAAATT